CCTTTCCTTTTGAGGTTGGGAAACACCTTAAGGATGAGTTACACATTTTAGATGGAAAAGAGCAAACCTACCAGTGTTAAGCACTCGGCAGTAATGGGAAAACAGCTATGCGGCTGTATACAAACACGTGTGCTTGTATCACAGCATGGCTATGCCAAAATGCCATCAGAAGTTCAACACACTTAGGTAAGTGAAAGCACTCACTCACGTCTTAATAAAGGCATATCCTACTACTTCTGTTCTAGTTCCATTACGGAAGAGAAGCAATAGTGTGCAAAGTTAGGAATGGGTAATGGTCTTAAATGACTGCTCTTTGGGGTGAACTTTGTGTTACTGTTAACCGTTTACAGTATTTCAGTAACAAATATTATGACAAATACAGAAATAAAACCAAAGCCTAATCCATAGTACAGAGTTCATAAACGGAGTCCTTGATAGTTTAAAGCCAGTTCTCAGAGCTGGTAAAGGGCAGGGAGCAGTTCCTGCAGTGCCCAGCAGCTCCCGTCCCACTCCCAGTGTCTGACTGATGCTATTCCCCTCGCCGGGAATCCCCGCTCATCCCCACTGCAGCTTGGTCAGCCGGGAACCCCAACATTTCCTGCGACATGGAAGAGGAGCTTACAAAAGGCTGAATGCCTTAAATAATAGAGTTGGAAGAAATAAGAGAGGAGCCACATCAAACTAAAAATAGTGGGTTAATAAGGAAGGGAGCACACAGAGACAGGTGAAATGTAATACAAGAAGCCTGGTGAAGAAAGACAACAGGGGAATGCGATGTGAGATTTGAAGAGGTGATGAAAAGAGCCATATGAGTTTTCAGTATATATTTATACAGCATGTATAATTTCTTTTAGGGTCTTGGGGAGAAAGACTGTTCTCCACATTCATACATTTTTCTGACCAGTGCTGAGCACTGTCTTACCTTTGTGGTAATTGCTCAAGTGTGTAATTAAAGTGTCACTGTCATCCAAAGCCACATAGAAGACATTTGATCAGTTAACTTGGGGTTATGCAGCAGCAACTGATAACAATTGCAAAATTGGCATTCTGACATGGGGTCTACCCATGCCTTTTCCCCAAAAAAAAGCAAGAAAAAGTGAAGCACCTCCAGAGGACTTTTTGCCAGAAAACCTCCCATACAAAGGATGAGAAGCAGGAGAACAGGGCCAGGAAAGCAGCTGCCATGTGGTGATCATATGATGTATTCATAGAGATTTGAGTGACTTTTGGAGCAATACAGTCAACAGATTCATTCTCTCTGCAATTACTACATCTCAACTTTATCTATTTTGGGATTACTAGGGATATATAAAGGATCCTGTCCTCTTCTGCAGAATCTCTGTTAAAATATACAAAATAATCCATTTGCGTAACAGTCATCAGTTAACTTGGTCCAGTGAGGGCCTTGCTTACAAGAAAACATTGCATCTTATTTTGAAAAGATAACTATGAATTCACTGAGGGACAATCATTATCTAAAGTCAGAATTTTAGGTATTTTAACTACATAGTCAAGGCCTGTAGCCTAGTCCAAGAGCAAAACTTACAATACTTGAGAATGATAATAAAATAAAAAACTACTTTAAGATTTAATGAAAAGCTGTAAAGTTAAGGTAGTTCTTTAAAATTTTTAATGTAATTTAAATTATGATTCAGAGACAAATGAGTAAGTCAAATGATAAGTCATCAGGGAACATGAACTATACGTGATTAGTAATAATTCCCTGGAAGTGTAAATTTTAAATCATAACAGCTTTTAAGTAATTGATTTAATTTCCCATGTCAGAGTTGCTAATAAGCTACCTCTCAACCTGTAAAACACTACTAGAACTATTTTCCTGCTGTAAATGTTCTACAGATCAATAGTTAGCTGTAAAACCATCTTCCCTGCAGATGCACATGGTGAGGCATGTGTACCATATTCAATACCATGCAGCAACAAAGTACATCCAAGGAGATTCCATGCTTGCAATTATCCTTGTTACTACCATTGCACTGCAACTACCTCACCATCACTTAACAGCACACAGCCCATACCTGTATCTCTGGCTTTCGTAACACTGTATGAATGCAACTGGTCACAGTTAAGACCTTAGAGCAGCATTCCAGTACCTGAAGGGGCCTCTGAGAAAGCTCGAAAGGGCCTTTTTACAAGGGCAGGTAGTGACAGGACAAGGGGTAACGAAGATAACAAGAGGGTAGATTTAAGTATAAAGAAAAAACTCTTCCTGGAGAGGGTGGTGAGGCACTGGAGCAGATTGCCAAGGGAAGCTGTGGATGCCCCATCCCTGGAAGTGTTCAAGGCCAGGCTGGATGAGGCTTTGAGCAACCTGGTCTAGGGGAAGGTGTCCCTGCCCATAGCAGGGGGGTTAGAACTAATCTTTAAGGTCCTTTCCAACCCAATTGTTGCCTATGTTTTTAATGAGCTGCCAAGCTGACATATGCCATAGCAACACATTCTTAGGCAGGAAGTTATTGCAGGGAGCTGAGCTAAGACAAGAGAAAGACACGGCCTGCAAGGGCCTCCAGAATTCCAAGAGTCCTCAGATAATCAGTCACTTGGACTGCTTGTATCAATATCCAACCCTGACTTTTAACTACTTCTGACTTCTACTCCCATGCATTCACTTCCAGATTTTGGGATGATGAATGGAAAAATGGTTCCTGCTGCCTGCATTCAGTTCCAGACTTCCCTGACTGCCTTACAGCATCTACACTGTAGACCATTTTTGATCGCACAGATGCAGACAGTTGACACCGTTGTTCTTCCTCTCCACAGCTGATAAGCACAATCACGCAGTGGAAAGTAGCAGAAGGTAAGATGCTGATGGCTATCAGCAGTCTGCTGTGTTTCCAAAACATGGCAACTAGGACGACCGGATCCTTCTGAAGTAGTGGTTGAGTGATAAGAGCTGAGCTACAGCAACACTTCATACTTCTGCACTACCGTGGTATGCCTTCCAGTGCGTGCCAAGCAGTGGTGGTGCCAGTGTGAGGCATTTCTGGGGCTTATTCTTGTGCAGCAACAGCCAGGACAGCAATAGCAGCTGGAGTTTTAAGGGCTGGAGTCTTGGTAGAAGGTCCCATTTACATCTTTATCCCAAATCATCAGACCTATGTATTTAATCTTTTTCTCACTGGTACTTTATCATTTTTATTAGGAACCACCAAGATATCTTAAAGTAAGACAACAACTGGTCTAAGTTTAAGTTGTCTGGGGAACTAACTGCACTTCTGTATCCAGTCTGGGTAGATATTCACTTGAGATGCAAAAATGAGCTGCCTGAACGTGTCTCTGCAAATACTGTTACTTGAATCCTGCATGTAATATGTCTTGTAAAATATTATTGTAAAAACTTACTTCAAAGAAACAGCTTAAAACAATTTCTAAAATGCAGAAATTCCATTTATTATACTGAGAATACCAACTGCAAGAAGTTTTGCAATGCATTCTCTTCACTCTAAGTACAATACAGTACACTGTTCTCCACAATAAGTTACATAAAGGCAAATTTTATGTACACATAAAAAGGATCAGTGCCCAGAACTATTTGCACAGCATGTCTGCTATTCAGAAATCAACCATTTAAATCTTTAATTGCCTTCAGAATTCTTGAAGCAAACTGAATTAATAAACAGATTTTAATTACCTGGTTTGAGAAGGGTTTTCGACTCATTTTTAAATTCAGTTGGAGACCATGCAAATGGTTTAACCACTGAATTAGCATTCCCAGCATTCATTTTATAAACAAATGTATTAAAAATGAGGCATGCCATATGGTAGAATATAAGACAACACAGAAAAATGACCTGCCTGCATTAAAACTGTTTATGCATCCCAAAATACCCAAAAGGGAAGTAGGGAAATAGTAGTGCCATTGTACAAGGCACTAATGAGACCACAGCATAATTCTGCTTATGCATGCTCAAAAAAACCCCAAAATAATAAAAAAGAAAAACACCCAAAACCCCTAAGACCTCCTCAAACTGAAAAAGTGAAGAATAAGGCTACTAAGACAATCAGTAGAATGGAAAGCATTGTATAAAGACTGTAACGGCACTTGCATTTTTAGCCAGTGAAACAGCTAAGTGTCTGACTGCCTTCAGAAAACACATAAGGAAAATGTCAGAAAGAAAAAACAGGAAGCAAAATGACAATATTAGCAGAATAGCAAATGGGCCTCTAAAAAGTTTATATGGGAATGAAAAGATGGTTCCTCAACTTAAAGGATGAGATGTACAGGCAGGGCCTTTGAATAAGGAGGAGCAGGGCCAAAAATCTTTAAACAAACTAGTTTAAGAGCACAGATCAGCTTATAGAAGTGATTCTGTGATGTAGCATCTACTGTGGGAAAAGACCAGACCCAGGAACACCCAACTGGAACATTCCCAACTGATCTGATCCATCACCGAGCTAAGAAGGTGGTGTCTCTTTTGCAGTGTGAAATTGCATTATATGCCTCAAAATTCCACTTCAAAAGATTTCCATTTCCCCCTCTTTCACATGAATTATTCTGTATTCAACCATGTGAATGTCTGTTCATACGGTAAACGTGGCACCAAGACCTTGCTGTGAAAGCAGCAACCTGAAGAGCTGGCACAGCAACCAGCATGTCCCCATATACCTTTCATGGCGAGATTCTTTTTCACACCTCTCTCTTGTTTCTACAATGGAGTGTGAGCATCGTATCCTCCTAAAGTCACAGTGCAGTGAGCCATACAGAGTGAAAACACTCAAGAAAACACAAAAGATTAATTTAATTCTTAAAATAATGCATATATAATGTACCAGGGGAAAAGTGTTGAGGTGTACATTCCACTGATTTTTCCAGTTGATACTGAAGACACTTTCCTTAAACTACTTACACTTTCCAATTTATTTGAGGTGCTTGAACTTGCAAGATAGGTAGGTAATAGCATATAAGTCAAATAATTTTTCAGAAAACCAATACAAGAATCAACCCCCCCCAAACTCTTCTTCACTGAAAAAGAGAGGCACTGCATTTTTAAGCTGAATTAAGGCTGTAAAATGGTGCTGGTTCATTGTGAATTTGAAGTCATCAAATGTCACGGGGGTGACATTTAACCCACTGCTTCACTGTTAGTCCTGTAAGCCTGCTTACGGAGGTGAGTCTCAATCTCCTCCCTGAAGACCAGCATCCCAAGGTGTGAGTGAGAAGCCTCGTTCATGGCTTTGGACTGGATACACATACGATACTGCTCGGGAGTGAGTTCGTCTGCACAATGTTTCTCGTGCCAGAGGTGAAAGAGACCAGGGACCGGGGTCCTGATCACGATAAGGTCACCGTGCAAGTACTTTCTGTAAAGGTGAACATCCTCACCGCCCCAGCCTTTCACTTCCAAGTCAAAACCCCCTAAAAAACAATATCAGAAAACGTTATTTTGGCACACAGGCTAGACATAATGCAAAAAGAGCAACACTCCTTGTGTAACATATTACTAAATCTGGTAGGGCATACCAGAAATTCTGGAGCAATTAAGTTCGCCATGCCAAAGCATGCCAAATTGAGGGAGAGTAGCTTCAAGCATACTGCATTGTTTGTGGGGGAAAATGCCCAGGACACAGATCATGCACTGCTGGCTTCAGAAAGTCTCTTAGAACAGTGCCCCCAAATCACATTATGCATGACATCCCTTGTGACAGCTGCAGAACACTATAGGCAAACCTCACTGGCTATGCTTTTGGGTTATTTTTAGCAATCATAATGGACTTGAGCAGCTGGAAAATGAAGCAGTCATGCACCATGTGAAAAGCCCTCTCTAAAAATGCCAGCAGTTACTCCATAAGTCAACTCCAAATGCTGGATTAAGAAAAGGAACCTGCTCCACCATTTTAAATTTTCTTGCCTTTCAGGATCATAATGAAAATCAACCCAGACTCTTGCAGAATTTCAAAACTCTAGAATCATGAAGTCTTCATTCAGTATATATACCACGCACATGGCAATATGCCTGCGATGTCTTCAAGGCCAGGCTGGATGAGGCTTTGAGCAACCTGGTCTAGTGGAAGGTGTCCCTGCCCATGGCAGGGGGGTTGGAACTAGATGGTCTTTAAGGTCCCTTGCAACCCAAACCATTCTGTGATTCTATGATTCAAAACCAGCTTGCAGTCGGGCCATTATACAGCACACAGAGCTATATCATTACACCTTCTGGCAGACTATCAGACCGTCTTCCAAATTCAAGTACACCAAGCTGCTGTCAGTTTTAGCAGCACACCACAAGAGGGTGCCCCAGCCTGCTTCTAAAGCCTCCAACAACTATCTTCTACTACTTCAGGCTACCTAACAGAAAATGTGAATGCTTCTTGTCTATGTTAGTGGTCTACTTGAGGGGTGCGTTTCTTAAATTTCATTAGTTTCCTTTGGAAAGTCACAAAGTACAAAAAAATTAAAAAAAAAAAAGAATATTTTTATAAGTTCCAGAGTGAAATGTTGCAACAAAACAAAATATTGTGCCTTTTAACAAACACTCATGGAACATCGAAATTTACAAAATCTAATTTATCTCATTGATCAAACTTATGTGACTGCTGGGCATGGGAAAATAGTAAGAAAAATACCCACACTACTTTCCTGTCATTAGTTTAAAACAGAGAATCAGGTTTTCAAAAAAAATTTTTTTTTCTACAGTTTCATCTTACCAACAGTCAGAAAGTCTGTCCGATATTGACAAGTCATCCCAAAGCCAAAATCTCGCCAGAAACCAGAATCCTTCTTGTGCACCTGCAATTTTAAAACAGTGTCATTTTAAGATGCAAAAATACACCGAGGGAAGCATACTGCACTTGGCTCTGTAGGAAGTTAAGGTCTTGCGATCATTTGCTCAGTGCAGGGTATGGCATATAACACTTCCAGCACGTGTGTCATGCACAGATGCGGGCTTCCTAATTACCTGCTGTTCACCCTTAGCCATCCTGTTCCAAATACTTACTCGCATTGAGGTTTCCACATTTACCTTTCTTTCTGTCACACCACCTCGATTTTCTACACATCTGCTCAGGCTAAACAGTAAAATTTGGTAGTCTATTGCCAAATCACCCATTCCCAGTACTCTCATTCCTACACAGTTTCTAAGGCCACTACAATCACTCCCATTCCTACACAGTTTCTAAGGCCACATTTGTCTCTTCCTGTTATGGTATGACAAGAAAAGTAAGTTTTGTGATTGAAGGCAGTAACCATGAAGTTGCTGGATTAAAAAACGTAAACAGCAGAGTTCTCCAACAGGAGCTCACTCCCCCCCTCAGCTGCGACTGCTTGAGGCCGCATGGAAAATCTTCCCTCCTACTCTCAGTAGGATCCTTGCAAACAACGTGGGGGGTGAGAGCTACTACGTTTTTTCTTTTAATAAGGCTGTGTTGCACTCTCTCTCCTCCAAACCTGTATACCTCAGGAGTCCCAGCTACAAACCCCAATTTCATTTATGCAGTTTCTTAAAAGAATCAGGCTGAAAACTGACCATGGCCATTCCACTTTCAGGCAGCAAAGACTCAGAAATACTGTACTTCTTTCTATCTGCTGAGCCCCAAATTATCCTTAAACCTATCCTCTTGAATGTTTGCTGGGTTTATTTGGTTATTTTGACTGCAAGCTTCCCTAGAATCAGTGCGTCTCATTCCAAAAGCATGACGACATTAGCAGCGTAACAGCCCATGGTCCTGGCAGATGTTGGATGGCAAAGGTAAAGAATCCATCTGCACAGAGTATAGCTGTCCACAGCATGTAAAAAGCAACTGACCCAACAACTTAGCTCACCTCAAACTACATGGCACACTTCCTGCAACTACCATTTGATATGAGCAAAGAGTCGATACGGAGGGAAGCTTACCAAGCACTGTTCATAGGTTTTTTTTCCTTTCACCACGTCTTTGTTTGGTCTACCCTAAGATGAAAGTTGCTGCCATGTTATGCCACTATCCTCCTAACATACTGGCTTTCCAAGCCAGAATTAAGCAACAGATCAGAACTACCAACTTCATTTCATTAATAGCACTTTTTTTTCTTTAATCTAGGAAGAACTCCAGATTTAAGAATTAGTTTTGTACTGTTTGATAAGTTTTTCTTCCACATGCTTTGCCCATAATGAACAAAAGCCTTTAGATGCACCCTGCCAAAGGTCATAAGATACCCCAAACAGACTATTAAGTTAGACTTAATTTTGGTTTAATACAAAGCACAGCTATTTCTATCCAGAATAATTCACGCTGCTTACCAATTGTTGCTCCACAGGGGGTGGTATATCTTGGTTGGCATAGACAACAGCAGGATTATAAAGGCTGAATACCACAGGATAAAAAACCTTTTTCCCTAGAAGTCAAAAGGTAATTGTTAGTCACTGTGGGCCTCCTTTCTGAAGGCAAGAGAAAACCAGAAACACTATGTGAAACATTAGCTACTAGCCGTCTAGTGAAAACAAGTAAATATAGGGTCTAACTGCCAGATTTTCCCATTTAGGTAGCCTGTAACATCTAGTGAGGCATAGCTCACAGGATTAAAAGAAGTACCTACACATATTTATATGAACTCTATAGGTATATATTTATATATAGCTATACATACTTTTACACATATTAATTATTGTATGTATATATCACAATATCGCATTAGATGACAGTGGAAAATCCCTGCAATAATGGTGTGCATTAAAACTAAAAAAAAAAAAAAAAAACAAAAAAAAACAAACCAAAACCAAACCTGAGTCCAACTAACAAACTTGCATAGCTTGAGTTTTATGAGCATGCCTCTTTCCACAAGCATTGAAAAGTGTGTACATCCAGGATGTCCTGCAAGGGCTTTAAGCATCATAAGTATCCTGATTATGCTGTGACACCAGTTCTGTGCCTATTACAGAAGCCAGATAAATGTTTTTCAAGGCTCTCTTGCATCACTAGTGGTGCAAAGGTATCGACAACAGCCCACGAGAATACTCAGTACCCTGATTTGGGTATGAACTCTGAACATGAGAAGTGTTTTCAGATCTCGCTTGAAGCAAAGGTGACAAACTCTCAGGATGAATTGCCAAGCTCTCTAACTCCCTTCCTTGTGAAAGCTCACAAGACTCTCCTCTCCAGAGTTTTTCCAATTTTCTATATAACTTGTTTCATGAAGTGCTGAGACAGACAAAAATGAAATAAAAGGCAAGAAATAGAATCCAAATATCTGGCTTATAGCAGAGTTTCTTGCCTGTTTATTATGTGAAGAAAAAGAACCCATTCATTCCAAACTGACATTTGGAGAAAACGTTTTCTGGCTGAAACAAATCTGGAATAAGAGTAAGCATAAAAAACCCTAACCCTAACAAATGTTTGACAGGAGGAGTCTTAACTAGCATGCTTCTTAACTCAAGAAAGCTTTATCCTTCTTGGCAGAAGCTTGTAGATTAAGCAAGCTTCATACAAACCTGAGGAAAAAAAAAAATGAACCTGGTCAGAAAATTTTGGAGTTTGGGATGCAGAAGTGGAACATTAGCCCTGTCTCTGTATGGAGTACATTGTGAAGCTCTAATGAAAGTCATTTTTATGTAATGGGTCTTGGCCATACAAGTGTGAGAAGACAAACCAAACTTGTTAGAGACTTCAGTATAACAGAAGACATCTTCCACCTTAAGAGATGCATTAAGTAGTTACACAAATTTACATGCAGTCTAACTAGTAAATTAATTAAAATGTCTGGATTTCTTTTAGACACCCACATCTTAAAAAAAAATGTCAAAATTGCACTTATTGTAGAAAAAGACAAAGTGTTCTTAAAACCAGCTACGCTAAGGCAAAATTTATTTCTCAGTCTAAATACTATTGTCTTTTGTGCACAGCTCCATCAAGTTAGTTTTCTATGTGCTCAACACAGGTCAGCTTAAACCAAATAAAACAAGACTGGGTTACAGCAACTGTGAAGGAACGTACCAGGCTCAGCATTCAAGCGACAACTGTTGAGGAACTCGGCTGTGAAGTAAACATCAACATCACAGAAGAACATCAGGACCTCGCCCTTCTCCCAGGCTCTGGCACCCATGTCAAGCCCCCGGCCTCGGTTAAATTCCTCATTCAGAGACACGAGCGTGTAATTGTGGAAGTTAGTTTCTCTAGAAGAAAAACAGAGCCAAAACCAAAATAAATTTGTGTGGGGGGCGGAAGGGACCATTTATACTTTTTCAGCATTTTACAGTAATTTTAATTCCGGAAATTTTTAAAAAAGTTATATCATCAAGATGAGGGGGAAAAAAAAAAAATCTGTTCCACTTAGTTATGCTATTTTAAATGTCAGAGATTAGACACTGTAAAAAAAATGGACCTCGGTCTTACTTCATAACTTCACTCAGCATTTAATTGTTCAGACACATTTAAAAGGCCTTTTGGCAACTGACATGAATTACAGTGTTCCCTGAAATTACAACCCATCCAAACCCCGTTCCCACAAAGTAAGAAATCCTGACTAACAAAGCAATACTTCTGTCCTCACTACGTCAGAGGGGAGAGGCAAATGGAAAGCCAGAGTCCTGACCCACCAAACTCATGAGGCAAAAGGCCATGACTGATGACCCAGTCAGTTTGCTCCTCCTCGCTGTTTCGTACCAGTAGCACACATGACTCTACTCATCGCAGAAGAGAGAAGAAGTAGCAAAGGGAGATTGGAAATACACATGGGGAATATCTTCAGGCAAAGTTAAGTATCTACTTTGGAGACACTTCAGAGGTCTGTGCTTGCAGAGAACAACATGGAGATCCTCAACAGTAGCACCACTAAGATAAAGAACCAGATCAATGCCCAGTGAGTTTGCAGCACTGAATCTGACTCCCTGTCATGAGGAGGATGTCTCACTGGGAGCATGGCATGCAGCACAGAAGCCTCAGAAACAGAGATGGCCAGCACTTGGCAAGCTGGATGCCAGGGAGGCTCTGTGAGAGGACGGCAGAACCACTCTTCCCTTCCTCGAGGATGTCTGTGTGTGCAAGGCCAACTCGCCATCCCATTTTAAGGCAGCGACACAGCAGCCTGTGCCTAATACACTTCATCGAGCAGAGCCTTGGCCTGCGCTGAAGTGGGGACAGAGGGGAGCCCAGTTCACTCTTGGCTAACAAGGGCAACAGGCTCCCAGCTCAGAGATGACAAGTGCTCAGGCAGAGGAGCAGCCCCTTAGCTACAGGCTAGCAGACACTGTTTCCTGTCCAACCCCTTGGACATAAATAAATTCAACATTTGGAAATTTTAAATCCATACTATTGTCATGCTATTTGCTGAGACAGTGTTTAAAGTTGTTTTATAGCACAGGGTAAGTATGGGCTCCGTGACCTAGAGGATAGAGGGCAAAGCTTAACTTCTCCCACTCAGCAGCCCACCAGCCTGCTTTGACTACATTTCTCATACCTACCATTAAATAAAATTGATTCTCCAGTGAACAAACTACCTAAAAGTACATCCCAGTTCCAAAGAACTTTAATTCTGATCAATCTGTTAGCATGACTGAACATTCACTGCAAAACTCACCCCTGTTGTTTTTTGGACTGCCAGATAAAAAACTCAAATTCACTGCTGTTAGGTCTTTTTAGGCCTATAACTTGATTTTTAGTAGTCTTCAGGAGACTTTTGCAACTTAAGCTGCAAAATGCCAATCAAAAAATAGTATACTGTAAATAAAGCCTACTTTTCCTATTAACCTGCAATCGACTACAAAATTACTCGTTATTATTTCATCCTTTTTTAAACCACATTTTAAGTGCCAATCAATACAGTTTGTATTGACTGACAGTGGATCAACACACTTACCGAGCTACGGATTCTAGGATGCTTTTTACTTCTGATAGCCCATCTTGTCCAAAATACACCACTGTGAGGTGAACACGCTTATCCTGATGAATACACACATCCCTAAAACCCAAACATAAGCTGATATTAATAATTACTTGTAACACAACAGAAGTTTCAGGTACTTAAAAGCTATTGCATTTAAAGGTATTAGCAGATTTAAGTATTCTGGTTAGATTTCAACTAGCTTCTAAAGAAAAAAAATGGAAAGATGCTTTCCCTCTTCTTTCCCCATCCTTCCCATCTGAATCAGAATTTTCCAATACTGCGTGTCTCATTCCAACACCTTATTTTATAAACAGAAGCTGAAAAATTGCTCTAAATACAGAAATTACATTCAAGAGCATTTGTGCCCAGGTTCACAGTGGCCCTGGCATTCCATCTAAAAGGGGTTTTGCTGCAGTTTCAGAATCTCTTAAGTCTTTTTAGAAGGAATATTTTCTCCACAATAGGTTAAAATACAACATCCTAAGGCAGTTGCACACAATGTTGGAATCATTAGTTCTGTTGTAAATTCACCAGAGCAGAAATTAATTTTGAAAACGAAACAGAACACTGAAAATCAGCAATACAGCTTACTCTACGGTCTCATGCACCTACCTAAAGTTTTGCATAAATTGTGCAAATGCCTCAGTTCTTCCAGCAAGAGGGACAATAATATTAATGATTGATCTAGAAATATCGACCGTTTCACTCTTCACTTTCATGAGGGGTCCAAAAGGTCGGAACAAGGTGACATGTCTGTATTCCATGCCATCCATCTTCTTATAAAACAGCTCATACTGTGTCCCCTTATCTCTTTCTGTACGATAGTAACCTGGAGAATAAGTCACACAAGTAATTTGTAAAGTCAAAGATCCCAAGCAATTTTATTTCAGAAACACTGTTTTTCCTAAGAACTATGAAGAAATTAAAAATAGAGCTTTTGGGGGAAAGCTTCTGGGGTTTTCCTAAAGACAATAATAACAGAAAAATCCACAAACCATCAATTGTCACAACCACCCTCCTACCTTTCTTAACACAGATCTGAAAAATGATCTTAAACAACCTCCAGCTTCTCCTGCTTCTTAGATCAGTTTTATGGTCCTACACCAACCTGTCGGGCAGAATTAAGAGTTGGGTCTTCCCAACAAGAAAGGGATTCAACTATTCGCTATGGAAAAGGATGACTGAAATCTAATACTGCCTGGTTTTAAGCCCTTCAGTAAGGATCTTCCCCTGAGGTAGTCCACAGTAAAAGCTGAGATCATCTGGCCAGTAACCAACACCACACAAGCTGTGGGCAGAACAAATGACAGTAACACACTTGATAAAGCCTGTAAAATCAGAAATGTGATATCTTAAAAAACCAAACCATGTGATAAATGCTGGAATGCTTTAAAACTGTGTGCACTGCTGACCACTAGCTACAGGGCTTTCTACCCCATAAATAAGGATAGTGGCATTTCATCGTAGCTGTGGTACTCTAAGGATATAAGCAGACGTTTTGTATGAATCTAACACTTCGAGAAAACAATACCAGTTCTCTATAAATAGGATAACCTGTTTAGATACATTTTACTCCTAATGGATAGGGAAATCATTCAGAACAAAATTTAGGTTAGCTGATTGCTTTCAGTTAATGACCATCAACGAAGCAACTCAAGCCAATGGCATCTCTAATTTTATACCACAAAGGAAAAGACCAAGACTCATCTGTGGCTTTGACGGAACTGAGCTCTGTGTTGGTAATCCTGTATCTATACTAACCCGAGAGTACAAAATTACAGGAAAACTCCTCCAGAAGAATGTTCATCCCATTTCAGCTCTCCTCTCCCCCCTCACAAGGAAAAGGTATATCACAGGGAACAAACATAAGCTACACTATGAACCAAATGACGCTGCATTGAACTAGACACATAGACCGTTGAAAAAGTTATTAACGGCTGCATACCCCCAAGTGTGGCCAACACAACAGCCTTTACACCATGTACCTAGTGTATTTCCATTCGCTTGGCAGACCTGAAGTGCCTCTTCTACTGGAAGCCCACCTCCAGAGCAGCTCAAGTCCTCTCCCAGCTTTTTCTACCCAGAAAGAAAGTAGCAGGGCACAGGATAGATGAACTGCTGTGGTGACAAAGGGTTGTCTTTCATGCCCAGTATTGATACTGTCCTGTTTGTTGCTATTGCCCATTGGAAACTGAAATCAAGAAGGACCAAGGTATGCGAAGGGAGCAGCACTCAAACTTCAGGCAGCTTGATTTTGTTTGTCTATCTCAGGAACTAGAGATATACTCCTGCTCCTGTCCTGTATCTGCCCAACAGACTTTCTTTTACAGCAAGCTCCCTACTCCCAGCATTCAGCTCCGTAATGCACTCCTGCTGGTAAGCGTATGCACGGACAAACGCAACGGGAAATGTTGATGACCACCACACAGGGCCTGTGGGAGACAGGGTGTAGCAGAACAAACTGGTGCCATCACACTGGAAGTTTACACTCTTGGTTTAATATAAGCTTTACCTGACAACTAGAACATCAGTGTGTTAACATTCCTCTCAGCATAAATCCAAAACATAGCCCCATACTAGCTACTGTGAAGAATACTAACTCTCTCAGCCACAACCAGCACATCTACTAATTTGAATACTTTTATGGGATTAATACTTCTATACACAGAAGCCAAACTTGAGAACAACCAGAAAAAGAACCCACATCTGTTTTACTTCTTAATGTATTCACATTTTTAACACTTGGGATTGACTCATGTAATAAAACCTGCTATCTCACCTTCCAACCAGCACACACTGGCTGCCGTCCAAAATAGAGCTCTAAGCAGAGGTAAAAAGCAGCAGAAATAATTTAACAGCTGTTATTCCTGGTCCATGAAGCTTTACTCCCTTTGCAGAAGTGCAGTTTCTCACCGAATTAAATCTTAGTAATTGATCCCCAGTATTCCTATCAAAGCCAAAAAGCTGCTCTTCCACTGCACTGAATACTAGTACTTGTTTTACAACTACCAAGAACGCGTTTGGTCTATGGAATTTAAGACATACGTCCTACTTTTTTTGTGTATTAAAATTCTGTCAAAGTTCCCAGGACACTGGCCAGTTTCTGGTCTTAGTCAGAACATACTAAAGGGGGTGTTTGCATGACAAACAGCCCACACTTCTAGAGATGGCAAGGACCCAAACAGTTTTTTGTCTTTGAGCTTGCAGAGTTTAGCTAAGTCATTTTTACATGCCAAGGCCATATTTTGGGTGAGGAGTCTTCCCTTGAGATTCAGACATTAAGATAGTTTCTGGACATTGCCCAGTTCCAACTGGAAAAACAGAAGCAAGAGAAGTTGCACCCCAACAGCAGCACTCGAATTCTGGTAGATATCCGAATAACAATAAAAACAATAATTAGAGATTAGCTAATTGCTAATTAGCTTCTGAAAATATGCTAATGACTCTGTTTTCTAAAGATTAATTTTAAATATCTATCCAACAGCAGAGCTTCTAATCTCCCAATAAAATGAGATGCCCCATCCCTGGAAGTCTTCAGGCCCAGGCTGGATGAAGCTTTGAGCAACCCAGTCTAGTGGAGGGGGTCCTTGCCCATCGCAGGGGGGTTGGAACGAGATGATCTTTAAGGTTCCTTCCAACCCAAAGCATTCTATAATTCTATGATCTTTAAGGTCAGCTTCCAACCCAAACCATTCAGTGGTTCTATGAAAATAAACCTGTTACACTGATAAATGTAACACAAATAAACCAGTTACACTGATAGTACAGTACAGATATCCGTGACAGCTCCTCACTGAATTTTCCATCGCTATTCAAGACAACGACACAGGCTTCTGAAGAACTGGGATGGACAGAGGTAATACTATTATGCTCTTGCCATGTTACTTATTCTCTGTTTCTCAATATTATCAAACGCTGATCTCAAAGCAATCTGTTTTAAATCCAGGACTATCTTACAATGCCCAGTTCAGCAATGAAATTAATTGTTCGTAGTCCTAGACCCATTCACTATTTATTGTCTCTAGAGATACTCTTCACCTAAGGGGAATAGCGTTCTCCTGTTTCTCATGCACTTAGATCTAACGCAAATACTAAGAAAATCACCTTCAAAGTGTTTCTCAAACAGCAACTTCAGAACAAAGCTTATTTTTTTAAGGTCAGGCTTTTGTTGTGTTAATATTATAATTCTGGAAGTTTCATTCTGGGTTGCAGCAAAGCAAAAAAGGTAACAAGGCAGCAAATGGAGCCCTGCAGAGCTGAGAAACTTGCTGTTTTTCTCTTCATCAGCAAACAAAGTCAATTAAGCCTTGTGAAAAATAATTTGGAGCTTTCAGAAAGTATCTCTGCAGTTGCAATGCATACTTGCAAGTCTTTTTTTTTTCCCCGCTTGGTGTTATTGTTCAAAGCCTGCCAATAGCCATGATGTGGTTGTGTAGTTCTGTCTAATCACAACTCCAGAACACACTTGGTCACTAGTTTTGCAGTACTTAAAAAAGAGAACATCAGTTCAGATAAAACCTGAAAAGGTTGCTCCCTATCATGGATATAGCTTCCTTGCACCACTAGTAGAAGGCAGAGTATCTTCAAGTAGAGACCACAACGGCTGAGCCTGCAGCAATAAAGCTGCATGAATGGTTAAACAAAGGGCACAGGGCAAGAAACAGCAGCAACAAGCAAGGTCCCATCCACTAGCACCTATTTCAAAGTTTATAGGCCCACATGGTGAGTAATAACAGTTAGTTGACTCAGACTACCATGCATTACTGAGTAATTAAGTGTACTTTTTCAGAAAAGTTTATTTAGGAATTGTCTATTTATAAAATAGAAAAGGCAGATTAAGTTTAAATTCATGTCATTAATCTTTGTTGTTGCAAGTGACTCTAGTATAGGTGAAGCCTAAAATACAACAAGAAAAAAAATTCTTTGTGATTTTACAAATCAGGACAGTGATATTGCACTGAGTGGGCAAAGACAATGTAAGTGCTGGGGAAGAGCTTCAGACATACAGTGGTGGTGAAGAGATACCATTAGACAAAATTGTCTGTAAGATAAGAGATTCTAAACTTATTTAAACAGCCACCAAAATCTCTACGGATTTATTAATACAACTTAAAACACATACCACAAAAGTTTACATAGGTCAAGGTTTAGTCTAGTATCTCTAGTCTAGGAAGAGGGCTGAAATAATTCCCAGAACCAAACATTTACCTAGATGAAAAGTGAGACTATCGAGGTAGGAAGCTGGAACACTTCTAGAATAAAAATGCCTATTTCTAGTTTAGCTTATATTCGTAACACAGTTTTGTGGGTGATGAATACTCATTAGGTCTGAGAAAAAAATTCCTGCAAGTCAGAGGAAAAGCAAAATCAGTTTATCGTAAACATAAAATGAGATGGCTATGTATTAACTACTGCCGTATCAGTTTTCTCTTTTGCACACT